GTTGCTGACCTTGAGCCAGACATCCTCAAGGGTGAAGTCAAGTGGGCCTTAGAAAGCATGGCTAACAACAAGGCCAGTGGAGATGATGGCATTCCAGTGGAACTATTTAAAATCTTAATAGATGACACTTTTAAGGTGCTATACTCTATATGCCAGCAAGTTTGGAAAACTCAGCAGTGGCCAGAGGATTGGAAAAGATCAGTCTACATCCCAATCCCGAAAAAGGGCAGTGCCAAAGAATGCTCCAACTACTGTACAATTGCACTCATTTCACACGCTAGCAAGGTTATGCTCAAAATCCTCCAAGGCAGGCTTCAGCAGTATGTGGACTAAGATCTCCCAGAAGTACAAGCTGGATTTCAAAGGGGCAGAAGAACTAGAGACCAAATTGCTAACATGCACTAGATTATGAGAAAGCCAGAGAGTTCAAGAAAAACATCTACTTCTGCTTCATGGACTACACAAAAGCCTTTGACTGTGTGGACCACAGCAAACTATAGCAAGTTCTTAAAGAAATGGGAGTGCCTGACCACCTTATCTACCTCCTGAGAAATAGATTCCTGTGGGACAGGAAGCAACAGTTAGAACTGGATATGGAACAACTGATTGGTCCAAAATTAGGAAAGGAGTACGATAAGGCTGTATATTGTTCCCCTGCTTATTTAACTTATATGCCGAATACATCATGCAAAGAGCTGGACTGGATGAATCCCAAGACAGAATTAAGATTGCCAGTAGAAATATCAAAAACCTCAGATATGAAGATGATACCACTCTGATGGCAGAAAGTGAGGAGGAATTAAAGAACCTCTTAATGAGGGTGAAAGAGAAGAGCACAAAAAATGGTCTGAAGCTCACCATCAAAAAAAACTTTGATCATGGCCACTGGTCCCATCAACACCTGGCAAATAGAAGGGGAAGATATGGAGGCAGCGACAGATTTTACTTTCTTGGTCTCCATGATCACTGCAGATGGTGACAGAAGCCACGAAATTAAAAGACCGCTGCTTCTTGGGAGGAAATAGATGACAAACCTAGACAGCATCTTAAAAAGTAGAGACATCACCCTGCCATCAAAGGTCCACATACTCAAAGCTATGGTTTTTCCAGTAGCCATGTATGGAAGTGAGAGCTGGACCATAAAGAAGGCTGACTGCTGAAGAATTGATTGTTTTGAATGGTAGTGCTGGAGGAGACTTCTTGAAAGTCCCCTGACCGCAAGAACAAACCTATCCATTTTGAAGGAAATCAACCCTGAGTGCTCACTGGAAGGACAGATCCTGAAGCTGAGGCTCCAATACTTTGGTTATTAGAAGACTCTCTGGAAAAGACTCTGATGATGGGAAAGTGTGAAGGCAAGAGGAGAAGGGGACGACAGAGGACGTGATGGTTGGACAGTGTCATCGAAGCTACCAACATGAATTTGACCAAACTTCGGGAGGCAGTGGAAGACCGGAGGGCCTGGCCTGCTCTGGTCCATGGAGTCACGAAAAGCCGGGCATGACTTATCAACTAAAAAACAATTAATCCATTCTCCGATACTATACTATACCGTCTGTTCACTCAGAAGTAAGTCTCACTGTGTCCAATAGTTAGTATGGTTAGGACTGAAGCCTTGAAGATGTCATTTTAGAAGCAATGTAGTACTTACACTGCAATCAATAAGCATTATTTCAAAAAACCCTATGGCCACATCCCAATCAGTATATTTATTCCATTGGTCTTCCTTGGAATCAGATAGGCAATAAATAGTACACTCTTCCTTTCTTTTTCTGCAGGGAGGCAATCTTACTCTGAATATGGCAGGACTCACATTCTCTAGCTAGATGACTCACATCTCAACAATAGTGCAAGGCAAAGCAAATTACCATATATTGTTCACAGCTTGCGTATCTGCCAATTAGGAATGCCTTTGGAATCTGCAACTATTTATTTTACTTCAATGCCTCAGTTTTATCTCCTCTGTTTGTTTTCTTTCTACATGTGGCAAGCAACTTCTTGAGTAATAACATGCTTCAAGGATTTGCCTTAAGAGCTATGAAATACCCAAGGCTTGATTGCAATGCAGCTAGTGTCATGAAACAATACTTGCAGTCAACAACTTAATTACACAGAACATCAAGATTACACCTCTCATTAACTCTCAGTGCAGTGTCATAATGACTGTAGTTCCCATCACAACAACGTATTGGTAGGGTACTATGAACACTGAGATGGCATCGGTGAGCTCTATTAGTTCAGTACAGGGCCAGCCCCACCATTAAGTAGAGTGAGGCAGCCATCTTACTTTTGAGACACTGGTAAAAGGGAGTGGCAGGATAGCACTGGAGGACAGGAGTGGGTCAGAAATAGTTGCCCTCAGGGTGGGAGGGCAGATAGCTGTTTCCATCAAGAATGTAACAACAATGGGGGCTGAGCTGGCAGCAGCTGTCAAGAAAAGGGGATATTGGGACAGTGGTGGTGGACCTGCTCAAACCTGGTTTGCAACTGTTGGAAAGGAGCCATATAAGATATTGAGGGTCTTGAGGAAAAAAAATCCAAAAATAAAACTACATATGGCATACTGTATCTATAATATAAGCACATGGGAGGAACAATATGGTAGTGGTAAAAAAGTACTATATAAGGAGAGGGGCAATTAAGATAACTAAGAACTTGGGTTAACTCTGTATTTCAAAAATTTTATAATGCTTGGGACTCTTTAGCTCAGAGATGAACCACAGGGAGGGGAGGCATAAAAGAGGTGTACTGATTTAGGGCTGTCATGATTACTCACACAGTGCACTTATGGAGAGGTTTTCCTCCTCTCATAAAAGCAGGGCCAAGGGTCATCCAACGGAAAACATGAACTATTTCTTCACACCTTTATTTATTCATTTTATTTTATTTATACCCCGCCTATCTGGTCGGTGAGGACCACTCTAGGCGGCTAACAACAGTAAAATGATACAATAAGAATATAAATAAACAATTCTAATTAATAAAAACACTACAATACATTACACGAAACGCAAAACAAAACAGTAAAGAGGAAAGAGGGAGGTCAAGAGGAATGTGATGGAAAGGCCTGCCCAAACATTCATGTCTTCAATTGCTTCTTAAAGATACCCAGCGAGGGAGACCCGCGAATCTCAGGAGGGAGATTGTTTCAGAGGCAAGGAGCCACCGCCGAGAAGGCCCAATTTCTTGTCTTCTCCTTCCGGGCCTCTCTCGGCGTCAGGCTCCTCAGCCTCACCTCATGGCTCGCACGAGTGACACGGGTAGATCTTGGTGGGAATAGGCGTTCTGCCAAGTATCAAGGCCCTAAACCGTTTAGGGCTTTGTACGTGAGCTAAAAATTGGATTTTTCTACCATAATACACAGCCACCTCTTTTGGTGGTCATTGACTTGGACAGCTATTAAGAGGGTTTAGACATATTCATGGCAAGAATGCTGTCACTTGCAACTAGTCATTATACTGAAAAATCTGTTCAAATTATCAAAGTCAAAACAGTTTCTCCAAACTGCGAGACACAAAGGGATGCAGCCAGCTACCATGACACTGAATATCTCATCCAACAGGGTTCTTCTTATGTTTGCAATATGTGATACAAAAAGAGAGAGGTAATGCATACACACAAAGAAATTCAGGATAACTATGATTCTCCCTTGACTTCTCTCAAACAAGGCCCGACAACCTTTGGCCCTCCAGATTTTTCGGCACCACAACTCCCGCAACACTTTGCTATACAGTAGTATCTGCCACAGAAGTTGGAGCTTCTGGGATGTGAAGTTCATACCCTCGGCCCTCCGTCTGCAATGCTCTCTATGCCTGCGCGTCCTCCTGGAAACTTTCTGGTCAGCTTCTTTCTATTTTTATTTTTTGAAACAGAACCGGGGCCTCCTCACCCACAGGTCGCGAAACACCGAAAAGCGCCCCTCCGACCACAAGGCCACCGAGATCGCAAGGGGGGGGGAGAGAGAGAGAGACTACGAAGAGTTACCGCAGTATGAAAACGCAGCAGAGACCGGAGACACGGATAGCCGCGGAGTGTGTGTGTGTGGTGTGTGTGTGGGTGTCGGAGAAGGGGGGGGG